CCCAGGATCTCCTGATACCCATCATGGCTTCTTTCACTGCATACGACACAAAGCCATCCTCTTCTCAGGAAAGACCTTGCTACATGGCACTGAACGTTGGAATGATGGCGAACGAATTATTGTCAATGCGTGGTGCCCCCAATTTGCTGTAAACAACACTGAGTACTTCAACACCATCCTGCACTTGCGAGGTATGCAGCCCCCCAGCAAAGGCAGTGACCTCGAAGAGTACTCACTTAGTACTTTCTACGGTCACCAAGTTGTTCGGCAACTTAAGCTAGGCCAATCCCTACAAACCCCGCAACCCGACCTCACCATCTCCTCCTCCTCCTCGGAGTCAGAAGATGTCATCGAAGTGGCGGACAGAGGACGCTCACGCACTCCACCCCGCGTGGACTGAGGCCCGCAAGGGCCCGGGCCTAGCTGGATGATAAACGAATGTAATACTCGTACCATCATCCTCACTACCTGCATCTAGTTTCGCGTCGTACGTGTCTTTATGTGCATCGTGGTCATCGTGAAAATAATCCCACCACCTTAATTCATGATGGTTGCTTTGTTTCCTGCATTTCAGAATTTGGATCCTCATACTGTTGTGTGACTTTTGGAGTTCGGAATTGGAGTTCAGGCTGCCTCTGAGCACGTTAGTTAGCCCAAAACAATCCTGTAATTAAGTCCACATGGAGATCGTCTGTCTCTCTCCTGCTCCCTCCCTCTCCCACCTCTGCTCCACTCCCGTCTCTTGTCTTCTAGTCGAGCCCTAACCCCTCGAGCTGCCATGGCACCCTGCTACAAACAAGGTTTTTCCACTGCTGACTTGCTGCAGACACAGCCCTCGCTGGCTCGGTCGAGGCATGTCCTCTGCCTTTGCACCGATTTAGGGCCGTGGACAAATCGGTGCTCTCGCTGCACGTGGTTTTGCGTTTTCTGCACGCTTTGGGCTGCCTTGGAAAGCAAGAAGCTTGACTTTGGACAACATGGAGATATGGAGATATTGAGGGGGCGCCTCTACCACTCCATGACCTGCATGGAAGCGCGCAAGACAGCTGAATCTCGGGACCCTCGGAGCCCCGCAGGAATAGCGATGCTGCGGACATCCGCTGCGGCAATATATGGCGACCGAAAACACAGACAGCAGCATGGCTTCCAGGACCCCTGCACCACCTGTCCTTCTTTGAACCCCCGCAGCAGATGAGAACGCTTCGAGCTCACAAACATGTGAAGGTGCACAACAATACAGGGGTGCAACCTGGCGCCTAGATTCTGACTTCTGCAGGTTTGAAAGCCAGAAGCCACTGATGGCCGATTGAGACTCTTTGCCATTTGAAAGCCTGGTAATCTGGTGAGTCTCCAAAAACCTACACTGGGATTTCTCTGAGTCGTGCGATGCAGCCAGTTGGACGGGAGGCAAAACATCCCTGAGTCGGAACCTACGCCTAGCTTGGCATCTCTAATTAGTACTTGATGGTTGTGAGGAGCACTTTGCACTGTGGCCATTATGCCACAATTAGTAATTCATTGCTGCCTGATAATTTTGCAGAGAACATGCGCTTACAGACACGCGACCTTGCGATAGCCACCTGAGGATCTCCCTGTACAGTCTCATGTGTATCGTTTTGATTTCAGATGTTCATAATGACATCGACAGTGACCATCCTTTGTGATGAGTGTACAGTGCCCCCGGAACCTGAGAACTCCGTAGCCCCTGCTCAGTGGTTATACCCTTATTGTTTGAGTTTCTTTTTTGGAGGTGGGTTGATTGAAGCGGGGCTCCGGCTTCCTCAGAACTGCTTGACTTGGTGAATCGGGGACAGCCCTGGGTATCTAGGCTTGCGTTGGGGCTAGTATGCTGTTCCTCCCTCGCCAAGTTGAGCTAGGTGCTGAAGGTCGGTTTGGGTGCACGCCCCCTCGTCTTACGTTTGATACTTGGTGGTGGCTTTGTTCTAGGGGGCCTGCATCTTATCCCGGACCTTCTCTAGTCCCTTCCGGTTTTCGTCGAACGAGTTCCCTGCGGTGCGACACAGTCAGCTGGGCGGGTGGGAAAAAAAACCTCTAACGGATGGCTAGGTCCCTGAGACTTTGAACCCCTGCCCCAAAAGTCGCACATGTTTATGCACCCATGTGATGATGTACCGAGCAGTACATTTGTCCGCGGACTTCCTGCAATCCATGAAGATACTCCGTTACCTCTTGGAGAAGAAGAGATCCCCTGGCAGGTCCTCTACCCCAAGAACTCAGAAGAGACGCCCTTCTAACTTGTCGAGAAAGAAGAGAGCTCTGCTTACTTCTCTGTTGACAAGAAAAAGACTCCTTTCTCTCTTAGTCAGGGGCGAGAGCTCCTGACCATTTCCTCCTCCTCGTCCAAACATGGAAGAGAGATTACGATCAAGAACAAAGGCTGGAACTTTTCCAAACGTCACAAGAAAAGTATGGTCCTCCTAGCGGCCGTTTTGAGAATGTAAACATTTGCCATGCGACATAGATCGACTGCATACTAGTATGTTGATGCAACATCAAGTATGATCACATAGCAATGTGAGAGACCAAATTGCGGAAGCGACGAGACGAGCATTCAACCCTCAACTAAAGTGGAGGATCTCACATATACAGACTCAATAATACAACCAAAAGAGTAGTCATGCTATGTAGTCCATGCCACATAATGCCACATATAAATACAAGTGTATATATATATACATACATACATACATATAGATATATAGATATATACATATCATATATATATATACATATATATATATACTCATGTATATATTTATAAATATATATATATATACATAGATGTATGTCATTTGTGTTTACACATGTATGCATAGGTTATCCATGCAAAACGGAGTATTTCGTGGCTTAATCATGACTTTATCTTTTCTGCTCGTGAGATGCTTGCTGGGCTTGTCAAAGCTAGATGTGAATACTTGTGCGCATCTTCCTTCGTTTCTGCGCCTGAGTGTTTGCAAAACACAAACATCCCCCCCTTCCCCCCTCCCCCCCCCCCGGGCGCGCGGGCCCCGGCCCTTGGGCACTCTGGTGCAGAGACCTCTCACAGGAGCTTGCCTGCCCCTTGCAGGTGCTGTTATTTTGATAGGTTTCCTCAATCATCTCCGCTGCCTCAGCCCCGGAAGGGTTCCTCCTGTTTTTACGCATCAAGTGCATTTCTGTAGTCCTGTGGTGCGTTCGTCTATAGGTGTACATGCAAGGAAATAGAAACCTTTTGCTAGAATATGCTAAAACCTTGCCACGTCAACTATAAATCTCGCACAAGAAATCAGTACAAGTAGCAAAGGTTGATGGCAAGGCAAAGCAACAAGGGAAGGGGCGCAAGCTATTGAAGATTTAGCACATTACATAGGCAAACATGCGCTCAAGGCTGCAGCACCGCCTCGTGCGGATGTGGCTGCGGCGGCTGTGGTTGCAATTGCTTGCCTTGCGGTTGCAACCCCTGTCAACAGTGCAGCTGCTGCAACTACAATCCCTGTGCCAATTGCGGCTGGTGTCCGGGCTACAACCCCAATGGATGTCAATGGAACTGGCAGCAACAGCAGATGAGCGATGAGCCGCGATATTCAGGAAGGACGCGAGCAGAATGGGAATCTCGACGTTTACATCATTTTGTTCTTCGTCATAGATTGGGGGTCGGAAGACTGTTCGCTAGCAAGTTGAGACTTGAGATTCAAGCTCGCTCAGTGCGGGTTCTGAAAAGAGTAGAGAAGTTCCATCAGTTCTCTCTTTATCCAGAGTGCTAGTGTTTCTTAGAGCATCGCGGAGGCCAACTGGATTGCCACCCCTTGTGGCGACCGGTGGTGCCAGACGAAGTTTCATGAGGCAAAGTGCTTGGTTGATTGGATGATCCGAACCTGGGGCCTCGAATTGCTTCAAAGTGGGAGCGGGGTGATTGATGTTGGAGGAGAACCCGGCTTCGTTGCCATGGCGCTGCTTGAACGAGGCGTGCCAGCCATTGTGGTCGATCCCAGTTGGGGTTTGACAGGAAAAACGAATCGACTAACGAACATCGATCAAATGATGCAAATGCCTGGTTGTCCAAAGTTTTCCGCCCTGCGAGACATGTTCGATGAGAACTTTCATGCCAAGCACGCCGACCTTGTTTCGTCCGCCAGTGCAATCGTGTCTCTCTATGGCGACGAAGCAACTGAACCAAGTCTTCGTTTCGCTGCTTCTTTGGGAAAGCCTTGTGCATTGATCCCGTGCAACGAATGCATTCGCTTCTTTCCATCCAACAACCAGACATACGATGGTTACGTGCAGGCTTGCATGGATATTGCTAACCAGAACCGGGGCCGCTTTGAACTTGTCAATTTGGTCGGTGCACCATTTTCCCGCGCCCTCCTGGTGCAGTCACCTTTGCCTGAGTGGGCAGAAGGTGTCATTGCAAATGTGAGCCCATCAACTGCTCCCATGTCAGGGAGCAAGTGCAACGAGTCCCTGACAGTCCCAGTCGGCGTTCTCCAGGATCTAGGCATCCTCCACCAAGTTCTTTGGAAGATGGAGCTGGCTGGGAGACACGCATAGGAGCGACCGGCCCGAAGCAGCAAACACCTGTTGTCTCGAATAGAATGAGTAGATGCTGGATGCTACTGTAGCCGGGGAAAGCAATACTTGAATAATTGCTTTGCTGGAGGAAAGCATACGTTACAGCTGCAGCATATTGTCAAGACTCTAAAGATTGACAACATCAGCACAACCATCTTCTTACTTTGTGTTACCGATCACACGTGCTACTCTCGCCAAGTGGCAACGTAGCAGAACACGGCCCATCTTGTTGATCAGTGGCGAGGGATAGCGAGGGGTGAGCACTTTGAAGATTCGTGGCCCGTTCGCAAATGCGAAGGCAATGTAGGCTTTGCCTATCTCGGACAGCAACCAACTGGCAAAAACGAGAGGGTCCTCGGCAGGGATGTAAGCATGTGCAGCAATGCCTCGAACGCAGGGGCACAGGCCGTGCTGGATCTCCTGTTTGCCAGGTCTAGGATCTTGGAATCCAATGGCTACCAGCGGTCTTGTGCCGCTCGCCTGTGATGCCCATATCATTTGCGCTACGAGGAACCCGGCGTTCCCTTGACAACTCATCCCAGGCGAGAGAGGGCGTGGCCGGTTTCTGCTCCGGCACGCTGCTCATGTCTCGATGCAGGGAGACTTCTGTGACGCGGCACCATGCATGTAATCTGCCCTGGCCCCTAAGGGCTTCCAGAAGCACTTGTGACAACGCCGTTTCAAGTTGTCAAAGTTCGTATGCAGTTCGACACTTATGCAATCACAGTGTCCTGTGAGCCTGCAGGGCAGCTTCTTGTCGCATGTGCTTGCAGACAGCTGAGCACTGCAAGGAGCAAAGAGCTTGTGCAGTTTTATCGCAACGACTTCGATTGCCTGGTCAAAGTTGATGCCTCAGGGCACATGACAGCTGGACTGCCGGGAACATGCATCAGAAAAGCAGTGTTCAGGTATTGTCGGAGGAAGGTACGATGGCACTCTTCACAGGATTATCCACAACAGTAACTCGATTTGCAACTCTTCATCAGTTGCAGTGATTGCGTCCGTCCGATGCTTGTCCCCGAGCTGGTTTCCGCAGGTGATTCGAAATTCCGTTTGGAATGGTGTCCCTCGCTGATCACTTCAGCCTTGAAGTTTGTGCGAATGTCATGCGCGGTGATGCTTGCAGATCTATTTCGGGGCCATCGCAAAGCTGTCGGATTGGAGTGGCCCTGGACCAGACGGATTGGCCACAGATCCCAGTTGTGAACCGGTGGCATCCAATGGCAGAATCACAGCCCCTCAGTGATTAGATCAACTGCAGCTTGACAAATGCACCGGTGTATGAACTATTGATTGAAAGGACGCTTGAAAGCATGATTGAAGGCAAGTTCCTTAAGCCCACAAGAGAAGTGGGAAGATGCAGCCAAAGATTTGGATTCAACGTTCTCGTTTCTTAAACCCAATCCCTTATTCGGCGATGGCTGTTGATCCAAGACTTTAATCCGCCCCCTCATCAGGCGATGGCGGTTAGTGTTGCCCGAAGGTGCGAGGGACAACTGCCAATCACAAAAGTCGCCCGATAAATCTGCACCTCCATGGCAGCGCCTGGCCTTCGGAAATTGCCTTGTGATTTCGAACATTAGTTGAGAGTCTTGTCATGTCTTGCCCGTGTGTTTTTGTACGTGTCCTTATTTGGCGTGACTCATGCAAAGCTGTTGCTTGCATTCGACATGGTCTGCCTCACTTTGATGATGCTGACAGAAAATTCAGAGGCTGCCATAACGACCCTGCTATATCGCCTGTCGAAGCGCTATTTATTTTACTACGCGGTCGCATATATGATGTGATCGACATTGCCGAATGACGATAGCATGTGCCTCAGTTCGTGAAAGGTTGACAAACACTGGGGGTCCAATCCCAACCTAAACATGCCTAAACTTGTGCAGCACAAGGCTGGCGAAATCCAGAATCTGGTTACTGGGCTTTGTGCTGGAATTGTGGCAACGCTATGCCCTCATTTAGAGGTTTGTCGTGCACTCCCTTGCGACTTGCAGTGAGTCACTAGCTGAGGTTATTTGATGCTCCACTGGACGTGGTGTCAGAAGCTGAGAGATCGCTGGCCGTTGGCCAGGCGCCGGTGCACCCTACTGAGGAAGAGCCGGATCCAGGAAAGCAGACCTACAGCTCGCAGGATTTCGTTTTCGGGCAGAGAAGTGTGGCTAGTTGCTGGTGTCGCTGGGGCAAACACGAAACGGATGGAAGGACGCTGCCTGCAACACTGATTGAGCTTTCACGAGAAGGAGGAGACGGTTGTATGCGATATGTGGAGACTGCAGCCATCTACAGCTCACGCAGGAATTCCCGCATTGTACAAGGGCTTTGTGCCTAAAGCTTGGAGGATGGGGATTGGAGGCCCAGCTCTGGCGCCACGAAAGCTTGTCACAAACCTTCTTGACTTGAAGGTGCAGTTGGCTTCGTAACCTTTGAGTTTGTGCATCGTGCTCTGACTGCGAGAGACAGACCAGCTTGAAACAATGGAACCCATGCCTCCGCAGGCAGTAAAACAGTATTTCGATGATATCACGGAAACTACCACCAGCAATGCGAGATGCGATGTCTTGTGGTGGTTTGTCCCCCTGCTTCCTCGGCGCAGCCATGAAGCTCAAGGAGCAACTGTCCCCACGAGTGTTTGAGTTCGGTTTACATTACACAGTCCTCGCCAATCTCATGTTTGAATTTGCGGTTAGGGCCTGTTGTTTACCGCTTCAAGGTAGGCTCGAGAAAGCTATGAGCGGAGCACCAGATCTCGGCGCTGTTCCAGATAGCATCACCACCAAGGATGCCGTCGACATTTTCAGCAGTTTGTGGAATGCCAGCACGGTAAGTTTGCAACACCAGGTTGCTGCGGGTCGCAGTTGTTCAGAGGCTGGCGTTGCGATTGCTACTGTTCCTAAGCCCTAGGGAAGTGAGTTTGCGAGTCCGAATAGTACCATTCAACATTTCTTATCAACTTATTTTCCCAAAACTGCTTTTGCTCCTGGCCCTGGAAACTTTGGATGGTGAGGACGAGTATGAGACATGTCTGGGACAGCTTTCCTTCCGCGACGGACTCCCAGATGACGACACAGTCCAGAAGGTCTACGACAACCTGGATAGGCAAGGTTTATTCAGAAGCGCTTTGGAGCCTTCTAGGCCCACACAGAATCCCAAGCAGCTACGTGCCAAAACCCAAAGCTCTCCCAGACTTGGACAACCAGTACTCTTTTGTGTGAAGCAAACACCGTCAGAATGAGTTTTTGCCCTCGGCTGCATCGGACCAATTAAGCTTCGCAACTTCCGTTTCTTCTGCAGCCCAGATCCCGGGGCGTGAGTGCCTTCCTGGATATGGTGCCTCTAGCGTCGCTGGAGGCCATGCGCCGTGGCTTGGCAACTCGGCATCGACTGAGAGTTGTTGTGCAAAAGGACGGGTAAGACGAGCTCTAAGGTTTAGATAGAGACTTTGCTCAGGAGAAATTCTTACTTGGATCTGGGCCTAGATTGTATAGGCCACTGTGTCCCGTTGGCTGTGTTGTTTCTGATGTTTTTTTCGGAGGCATCAGTTATTCTGTAAACCGGGCCTCCTTCCGCCAGTGTCGTTGTGCCTCCAAAACTTGAATGGTGCACGCCAGCAGGTTGGAACCTTGCTGTAGCAAGCCTTACAGACTTTCAAGAAGCAAGCTCAAGAAGGTGTACTGAGCGCCGTTTCTTTTAGATCCCCTGAGAAACAATTGTGCAGAGACGAGGTAGACATTAAAGTTGTCTGGCTTTGCATTTCTGTGGTCTCGGGGCTGGTGGAGATTTTGGATTTCAAGGTTGAGGCTTTGCCAGGCTTACGCAGTTCGTGACATATAGTGTGTAGCATGACACAAGGATTTGAGGTCGCAGAGCGATTGAAACGTCTTGACAATGAATGCTTCCATTGGGCTGATCGAGGTAGAGAATGGCATGGATGCGGCGAACAAGGTTATGATATTCGAGACTCTGATGGACTGCAGCAGCCTCTTCCTCACGGGCAACACTGACACAGCCTCATGGCGAAACAGTGGTGCACATGTTCGGATGGATGTGAGCATCCATGGTATGTACCTACGCTATCGTACATTACTTTTACACCCGCACAACTATTATGACGCCCAAAGCACCGGCAGACCTCATAGGCTGCTTTGCTTGGCATTTCTTGTGGCCTGCACCCTTGTCTGTTGAGAGGCATGGATGCATGATCTCAGCATAAGGTTTACGCAACGGGCCTGCTCAATCTTCAGAGGGATGGACCTACCGTCATCGAGATGCCCCCTAGCGTGGGGCCGTGTACAGTAGACGATGCGTTCTTCCGCTTCGTCACTGACATGGGCGGTCCCGGCCCAGACCGTGGTGCGGGAGGGAAATATTTGATCCTGCCCCCGGGCTACAAGGGCAGCACCCCAGAAGGTTATTACATCGCCACATCGCCGACTTACACGAATTGGTTCGTGGGTCGCGGCTTCCTTCGCGAAGGCAAGCCAGATCATGCAGCCGCGGAGTGGCGAGACAAGCTCAAGGTCTACCCGCTGTCTGCTTCCGGCAATCCGCCAAAGATGGAATACTTAAACATCTCCGGCAGGGTGATGAACACGATTCATGCGAACGACTTCAGCTTCTTCGAGGAGGTTAATGCCGTCATACAGTATGAGCCGATCGATTTCCTAGAGCCAGAACTCAGGGGCAACCTTGCCGCCATAGGCATCATGAAGGGCAAGCCCTTCCAGCCGGACGAAAGGATGAAAGCACTGCTCACGGAGGCCGCCGTGATCGGCAACGCGACTTCTCGAGCCATATCCTTCGCGCCCAGGGATAAGCCGGAAATTTACGAAAACAGCGAATGGCAGAGCCTTTTCCAGGGAGGTGACTACCATTGGTTGAGTCACGGGGGTGCAGGAGGCCGGAACAAAGATGCAAGAACGAGGTTCTTTTATGTTGCCACTGTGAACAGCGCAGCGATGATCCTGAAGATGGTCGGTGTCGGGTCACAGTATGCAATGGCAAGCCGGGACTCGGAGCACAAGTACTTGGATGGAGCAAAAACCTACACTCTCACACTGCCGCCCAATGTGCCAGCAAAAGACTTCTGGTCTTTGGTGGTCTACGACACACAGACACGCTCCATGCTCAAGACGAAGCAGCTCTTCCCAAGTCGCAACTCGGTAGCCCATGCAGCCGAAATCAAGCAAAGCCCGGATGGCTCCACGACAGCTTCCTGGCAGCAACGCCGCTTTCGTGTTGAACCTCCCATCTTAAATGCTTATTGCTTCAGTCCCGCTGGTCTCTGGTCCTCTTTTGTTTCACTCGTCTGCTCAAGCTGAAAAGCCATGCTCACACATGTGTGGAACTTGGGCAGGTGGGCGGGTGGGAAAAATCATGTGTTCACGGCAGAAGGTTGTACTATGAAGCTGGGTCCCTGCAACTCTAGCCTCCCCCAAACGGGGGCACACACATAGAACCTTAGCTGGGTTTGTCGAAGTGGTCTTTCTTTGAGGGCATTGGAGACTTTAGGGCGAAATGCAGTGCTCGAAGATGCGCGAGATTGATTTATTGTTCGAGTCTTGATTCTCAAGGCAGGCCAGTGCTGACCTCGTTTCGTTAAGACGTTAAGAGTCTGTCCCTCGCAAATCTGAGAAGACACAGACCCTGACCCTGACGCAAACTAATGTGCACCTGGCCATCTGAGGTTTGGTTTGCCCCGTCTGCACCCCCTGGCCACGAAGGGAACTGGATTCAGACCGTACCTGGAAAGACTCTCGCTTAAAGTCAGATGTGAAAACATCGATGCCAAGATTAGAAGCAGAACGATGCAGTTTGCGTCAAAGGCTAGAAGAAGTCTTCCGTATTTCAAAGTGGATGCACCGGGCATGCTGAAATTTTTCACGTCAAGGGCATGGCATCAGTAGTGGTCGCAGCGGCAGAGGGGCAAGAAGAGGAGTTGTCGTGTGAAGGGACAAGGTGAAGGAGCAGTAGCAAGAGTTGATGTTCAGGCTCAGAGCTTGCATGTATTTCTGCCTTCGCCATATGCGTGGTAATACCTGCGGCCGGTTGTCCTAAAAGGAGTGACGTAAATGCGTCGGGTTGCCTGTCGTGTGAGGTACCAGAACCATCCGGAACCACCGTCATATGGTTGCACACTTGGTCTCTTTTTGCCCCTTGTCAGGCCGCCGTTGCGACCCCTGTCTGGCCTGGCAAGAGTGATTTCCAAAGCTTTTGGCAGTTTCAAACCTCGCCCATCCCGCGGAGCGAGAGGAATTGCGAACCATAGCCTTGGTCCCTCCATCTCCTCCATAGGACCAACACTTCCCCCTCAAGCATTGTTGAGCTGCCACGCACAAGAGTTTGGTTGAGGGCGCCTTTCTGGGTCCTGCGTTTTTCGGTACTCCTAGGTCCTAGGTTCCTTTGTTCTTGTTGTTTTGTTTCCTGAGCATAGGCCTAAACACGAGCGAGTATCCTACACCCGGAGCAGAATCCGAAAGATCGAAACCTGGTCTCAGGATGTGGTTCCTGCTACTGCGGCTTTACGGCCCTTTGGAACCCTGGTTTGACAAAACCTGGCCACTGGGCTTCTGCATGCAGTAGCTGGTGTTGTTAAATTACAGTTGACCCTGCAGGGCACACAAACATTAGCTTCGAGCGTGTGCAGGTTAGCCTGGCACACAAGGCCTTGCTTGGCCACTCTAGAACCGATATCACTAGGTAATATGATGCTGAGGCGGCCTGGAGAGATTGTCGAAGTAGTCGAGCCGGCAGCAAAAGCAGCACGAACAAGCTGAGGAGGCAAGGCTGTCCCACCATGGTGACAACATTACCTAGAGTCTTCGAGTAGAGTGAGTGACCTGCAATCATCCGTGTGATGCTACCTGGGTGTTAGTCGTGCAGGAGGACTTTGTCGAGGCTTCCGTGCTGGTTTGGACTTTGGTTGCGCCAGAGCTTCCCAGCTGTCTCCGGAGTCTTGAGGCGCCTCCAGTGCACTCCGTCGAGGTTTGTGAGGAGGAGCTTTCCGGGGACGTATATGCGACAGGTTGATCGCTTCGGAAGTAAAAGAGGACACGTTGAGTCAGAGTTAGCATGGATCTGCACTCACAAACTGATTGCGGGGCCAAACAGCATAGCACCTCGGTGTGCGCACCGACGCACCGGACGCCACAGCCCGGCGCATGCGCACCGCGCACCGGCCCGCACCGACCCGCACCGACGCACCGGTCCGCTCCCGTGATGGCACAGTCGGCGCCGTGGGCGCAATCGGCGCAATCGGCGCAGTCGGCGCAGTCGGCGCAGTCGGCGCAATCGGCGCGGTCGGTGCAGTCGGCGCAGTCGGCGCAATCGGCGCAGTCGCCGTAGGCGACGCAGTCGGCGCAGGCGGCGCAGTCGGCGCACTTGTCGCAATCGGCGCAGGGGGGCGCAATCGACGATCTCAGAGTTCAGAATTGATGGGAAGTTCTGATTTTAAAATCCGGAGCGCCCCATCAGTCCACAGCCTCCATCCTCGGAGTTCAGGGATGATGGGGAGTTCTGATTTTAAAATCCGGGGCGCACCATCAGTCCAAGGCTCCATCCTCGGAGTTCCGGGGCGATGGGAAGTTCTGATTTTAAAATCCGGG